TCCCAGTTTGGGGTCCCAGTTATCCCAGTTTGGGGTCCCAGTTTGGGCCAGTTTGGGGTCCCAGTTATCCCAGTTTGGGGTCCCAGTTTGGGCCAGTTTGGGCCAGTTTGGGGTCCCAGTTATCCCAGTTTGGGGTCCCAGTTTGGGCCAGTTTGGGGTCCCAGTTATCCCAGTTTGGGGTCCCACTTACCCCAGTTTGGGTTTCTAGTTATCCCAGTTTGGAGTCCCAGTTCCAGTTTGGGGTCCCACTTACTCCAGTTTGGGGTCCCAGTTATCCCAGTTTGGGTCAGTTTGGGGTCCCAGTTTACCCCAGTTTGGGGTCCCAGTTATCCCAGTTTGGGTTCCCAGTTCCCCCCCATTTGGGGTCTCACTGAGCTCAGTTCCCCCTTACTGGGGCCCCCAGTTCCCTTTACTGGGACCCCCAGTTCCCCTTACTGGGACCCCCAGTTCCCTCCATTCCCCCAAGGGTTTTTCCCATCTCATTTTGGGTGGAAATCCCCAAATTTGGGGGCTTTGGGCTCTCCCTGACCCCCCCTTTTCTCTCCCCACAGCCTGGAGCTCCGGAGCCCCCCTCAGCCTGAGAAGAGCCCCCCAAAACCCCCCGGGACCCCCCAAATCCACCCCAAATCCACCCCAGAACCCCCCAAAACCCCCCGGGACCCCCCAAATCCCCCCCAAATTCCTCTGGGACCCCCCAAATCCCCCAGGGACTCCCCAACCCCCCCCCATTTTGGGGTTGGGGACCCCCGAATTCCCCCCAGGACCCCCCAAATCCTCCCCAGGACCCCCAAATCCTCCCCAGGACCCCCAAATCCTCATTTTTTGGGGCCAGGACCCCCCAAATCTCCGGTTTTTGGGCTAGAACTCCCCCAAATTCCCAATTTTTGGGGTCACGACCCCCCCAAATTCCCACTTTTCGGGGTCAGGACCCCCAGGCTCCCTCCAGGACCCCTCCAGTTTTCATTTTTTGGGGTAGAACCCTCTGAATTCCCGTGGTTTTGGGTCGCCAGCCCACAATTCCCGTTTTTCGGGGTCAAGACCCCCCCCAAATTCAAATTTTTGGGGGTAAACATCCCCGGAATTCCCATTTCTCCGGGGTGATCATCTCCTGAATTCCCGTTCTTTGGGATTGGGACCCCCCAAGCCTCCCCGGGACCCCCCAAATTCCCGTTTTTTTGGGGGTGACACCTCCCAAATTCCCGTTTTTTGGGTCCAGGACCCCCCAAATTCCCGTTTTTTGGGGGCGACACCCCCCCAAATCCTCATTTTCCGGGACTGGGACCCCCCTGAACCTCCCCGGGACCCCCCAAATTCCCATTTTTTTGGGGTGACGCCCCCTCAATCCCCACTTTTTTGGGGTAACACCCCCCCAGGTTCCTGGGGTTTTTTTTTTTGGGGGTGACGCCCCTGAATTCCCGTGTTTCCGGGGTGCCCCCCGCCATGGCGGACCCCATGCTGGAGCTCTTTGACGACCCCCACCTGTTCGGGCTGGAGCCCCTCCCCCCCGAGGAGGAGCTGGGCCCCGCCC